GAAACCTCCCACAAAAAAGACAAAAGCAATGTTTATAGGATCTTCTTATAATTATAATGATTAAAGATAAACGTGTTATTCGCTATACCTCTTTTCGTTGTTTGGGAGTAGAACTAGACGAAAAAATGAGCTGGGATAAGCATATAGATGCAACATGTAAAAAAGTTGCGTCCGGCATTGGAATTATGAAAAGAGTAAAACAATTTGTATCGTACGAAACTTTACAAAATTTGTATAATTCTCTCGTGCTCCCATATTATTGCTCTTCTTTATGGGATAATTGTGGAAGCTTACTCATTGAAAAACTGCAAAAACTACAAAACAGGGCGGCAAGAATTATGACAGGGGCCAACTACGATGTTAGATCAACAGATTTGCTCCATGCTATGTCGTGGAAGAATCTGAATGATAGACATAAAATTAATAAATCTGTTTTGATGTTTAAAATACTAAACAACCACTCATCCCCTAATTTAAAACATAAATTTATTTCCAGGGAGACAAATATGAGATATTATAATCTTAGAAATGGCGACATAAATCTCTCACTTCCTACACCAAAAACTGAATATTTAAAAAAGAGTTTTGATTACAGTGGGGCTGCGCTATGGAATAGTCTACCAAAACAAGCAAAGGAAACAAAATCTTTAGGTATCTTTAAAAATATGATAAAATAATGTAACTACTGAGTCAGACATCGATTATTCCTAGTTTTTATCGTCTTTAATACTTACATTGCATGTTTATATATTTATATTATAATATTATTTTTAATACTTGTACATAAGTATTTTTAATCTATTGTAATTGTGTGACGCCCCTCACGAAAACCATCGACAGATGATGAGGGTAGCGTGGTTAAATAAAGTTTTATTGATTGATTGATTGATTGATTTTCCAAGATGTTGGTATTCGGATTATGTTCTGTTTTATACTTTTTCAAATTTATGCTTCTTATCCTTTTCTAATTTACTTACAACCTGCTTATCCGCCCATGTAGTTTGCTTTTTTGGGTCTTTCCCTCGCAATTAAATGAATTGCTCTTTCGCTGTAAGCGGCTAATTGTCATGTTGGTCGGTTAATTTTATTTGTAAGCGGTTGGATACTTAATGCGATCTCAAAAGGGCGCAAAACGCAATGATACTTTGGATTGGCAATGTGTGTATGGACAATTCATAATCATGAAAATTGTGTCAATGTAAGAAAAATCTTTAAACTATAAGGGCAGTTTATCTTTAAAATACGGGTTTAATTTTTATTCAAATCGGCCAAATATTTGCAAAGAAATGCAAGTTGGAACGAGCGAAACACTTTTGAGGTCGTCTGGCCGTGCGGCAAGAAACACTACCTGTCAAAGCTTATGTCCTTTCGGGTCTGCCATCTGAGCATCGATTCTGCTGATAACAAGGTCAAGGCGGGACACGCTATTTTTAAAAATTGCTCAAATTTCTAATCTTTTAGATTTTCCTGGAAACAAATTTATTTTTTTTATTAAGAACCATAGCGAGCTAATATTATGTTGATTATGCACACAGTTTCCATAATAAGTATAACGGTATAATTATTATAATATTGCGTTCAAAATGTAAAAATGGCGTTTATTTACATTACTGCACATTCGTTTCTCGATATCGCCCAAATTTGCACGCTACTGCATCGGCTTATTCAGATGATTTAAGAATTTTTATATAAGACTACTACGATTTTTTTTTAATAACTGCATTATTTCGTAGCCGGTCACTTTGACCACGTAAAACTACAATACTACTCATGTAGTGAGGTATAGATTTATGCAAAAAATTGTTCCTTTCTCATCACATACCTATTGTATTTTACACAGATAAACCAATAGCAATCTTATAATTAACATATTTTTCAAGTCAAGGTTGAGGAGCTTAGCAAGACGAATGCCATTGGTACGTTTGGCTAAAATACAATGGACACGGGACGAGAAAGGAACCATTTTTTGCATAAACGTGGACAATAACATTGTTAATGAGTTGCATGTATTGTACTTCTATTTAGTCTCCAAACCCATGTATTTAAGAAATAGAAAACATTTTCCGTGTTTCTATACAGTTGTAGAAACACGCGTGGGAGTTTTGGAGAACGAGAAATAATCAGTGGGAAAACGAGCCCGTAGGGCGATATTTTCCACGTTATTTCGAGTTAATTTCAACTCCCACAAGAGTTTCTATAACTGTATAGAAACACAGGAAAAACGTTTTCTATTTCTTTTATAATATAACTCAATAAAAATATTTTTTACAAATATTATAATTCGATTCAATTACAAATTCTCATTACATTACTTCGCTTGACAAGTTCGGCGGGAAAATTCCCGTGTTTCTATACATATAGAAACACGCTTTCTCGACCAATCAGCACGCGCGTACTATAAATGTTGTATTATAAATTCTATTAACTGTGCTTTGACATGTGCTTTGACAAAACAACTCGCTTCCATTTTGAAAAAATCTCGGTGCAATTTTTCTTGAAACTTGCAATGCAATTCTACTTTTAAGAGATGTAAATTTTGGCATTACGGAACTTTTGTCTTTATTACACTGCATGGCCCTGCTTACACTAACATTTTAAAGACTCTTCACTAATTTACATCTCTTAAAATTAGTTGCATTGCAAGTCGCAGGAAAAATTGCACCGTGTGCCAGGGCCTTGAGTGATTGATAATTGATAATTCGAAGTCCCGATCGAACAATCTATTAAAGGTTTTGTAATTATTCTAAAATAAGATATCATGAAAGAAATTACCTGCTCATGGCAGGCAAGCTCAATTAAGACCGTGACAATAACCCAATTAATAAGCAATAAATAACCTTTAATACTTTATTGGGTAAATATGAACATGATTATTTACAAAAGACGTACTAATAATATGCATGCACAGAACATATACAGTATTACCCAAATGGAAGAGGTGCGAACGGAACGTAAATTTGTGCTATCCATGCGAGGCACCTTGCCAACAAAATACATGTGAATATAGTTTACTTAATAAACACACTAATAACAAGTTTATACAACGAGACAATTAACTCCTATGACAAGGACAGACACGTGACATGGACCAGGTACATAACAAGTTTACGTCGAATACAGTCGATACTAACATAGAATAATGATTACAGAGGTAGTATTTAAATATATAACAATCAATAAAATTTTAATTAATTAATTTATTAATTTCATTCGCATTATAATATTAAGTGTTTATTGCTTAAAATGCTTGCTCATGTTTGATCAAGAACTCTTATCTCATCATACAATGGCGTTGTTAATTTTATTTATACTTTGGCAGGAATTTTCAGCTGTAATAATATTGCTATAAACGTGCAGTTATGTCAGGATTTAGTTGCACTAGTCGCACGTCGAAAACATAATCGTCTAAACTCAATTTTTGCTTCCAATTTTATTATTCTTTGTGCTGTTCAATGTTAAAGTCAATTAAGTGGAAATATATTGAAATATATGAATAATTATGCTCTTGAAGATATGAAGCTTTGCAAAACCGTGGTTAAATTTTCAATATTATAAAAATGGCAATATTAGATATTCCGGAGGGTTGAAAAAGTGTTATGCCTCAAAAATGTTGCCTAGATCTCGAATACATACCCAACTTTGTTCCCAGGGCCTTCTTAAAAGTGCGAGGCGAAGTATTTTACAAAGGAACAAATCGACGAGAAAATAATAATGCAACAAATATTATAATCAGTCTGTCAAATTATTACAGACGTTGACCGGTTTTACAGAATTTTTCCATCTCCAGCTTTTAAGTTAATCAGCACGATTATATATATTAATCACATCTGGTTGAATGTTCAATTTCTTCTCCCCAGCAACGCAATTTTCCAGTATTAGAAAGCCAGCCACGCTCGATCGTCTACAAACTACACCGTAAATTTCTACTAGTGTGACCTGTGCTGTGACAAAATGCAATTCGCCGCCATATTAAAAAATCTGCTTAAGTGATTACTATTTAGTATCCCGAAGTATCTGCTCAAACAGACCAGAAATTCGAGTAATTGCCTTTGTAATTATACTAAAATAAAACAACATGAATAATTCTCTCTTATTGCAGGCAAGCTTAAGACAGTTACCCATTAAGCAATAAATAGATAAAAATCATTAACATTTTAATCACTAATACTTGCGAGTTGGGTCTGTAAAATTCCATGTTAAAGTACAGCATGACGAGTAAGCTTGTATTTATTACATGTCTAGTTTAATGAATATTGACAATAAAATTCAGGTTTATAGTTACGGAAACCACTGAATATTTCTATACAACACAACAAGTTCCATCATCAATCTGTCATGTTCAAAGTGTTCACATGATTTTTATGTATATGAGCGTAAATCTCATACGTGAAAGCTCATGCAGAGATTTACGCTTATATAAACTCATGTGAACACTTCCAACATATCAGATCGTTGATGGAACTTATAGCTGATGACACAAACAGTATAAACAATGACTTAACACAACTTATTTTTTACAATTGCAAGATAATTCATATAGCTCAGACCACTTATCTTCGTAATACGCCGACGAAAACCAGATCTTAACCACAGTGCTAATTGCTTTAGCTAGCGTTTCCAGTCCCGACCTGTCTTTTGGATTGTCTATGATCTCATACGTGATAGCTCATGCAGAGATTTACGCTTATATATAAACTCATGTAAATACTTCAAACACATCAGATCGTTGATGGAACTTACAGATAATGACACTAACAGTATAAATACTGTCTTATAACACGTACAACTTAATTTTTTAAAATTGCAAAATAATTGATAGGTCAGACCATTGAGATTCGCAATACGCCGACGAAAACCAGATTTTAACAACGGTGCTAAGGCTTTCAAAGGACTGATCATATTTCAAAGACATTATCGAGTTCCTCCTTCTTAACTATATGTATATAGATCCCAGAATTTGTAATATTACCCTAATCTATCCCGATGATGACTGCAAGCTAGTTGAAATGTAGATAGAATAAAACTACAATATGTTACTTCGAGTTACTGTTCTATTGTATCTTATAAAGTTAGGCTTATAAAGTCAAAAGATTTTTTGAATCATATCAGGTTTGATGTAACATCTCTTATCCCCAGCAACGCAATTTACCCAGTGTGTGATAACCACGCTCATTTACACCGTTACGTTTACCTGTATCGCCAAATCTCAGTTCAGTAACAAGCAGCGTATTCTTGTCTGTCAGGTATCCACTGTCTTCACGCCATACTTGATCATTCTTGTCACAATTACATTTTCCTCCACCTGCACAGCTGTTGGTCATTCCGCATGAACATTTTCCACTGTCGACTGCCGCTCCACCCCAGTAATTCATCTTTGAACCTTGACGTGATACCCACAAACCATTGGACTTTTTTAACAATTTGCTATGAAAACATTCATATTTTATAAACTGCTCACAATTCTTGGACTGGTCGATAACCGCGATAATCTGCTGCATGAAAATATTGTATTTTATCTTTCTTTTGTAAGAACCTGGAGCTTCATATCCATCAACAAGTATTTTTGATTCACTGTCATGTCCAATCTCTGTCACACCAACACCATTCTTAGAAGTCATGTCACAAAATACTTGAGCCATGAGGTTGAGTCCTTGAGGTTTTATGGAATACATTCCACTGTCAGCAGAAGGATGCTTCGTTCGCAAACTCGTGCAAGATTTGTTGAAATTTTTCAGAATTCCTGTAAATTAAGACAAAGAACTTTGTTACTTCTGGAACGTGCTTCAAAATAATTTTGAAAAATAACAAGATGGCAGGTAAAAATTTAAAATTTGGTAACTGAGGATGTGTTGTCCATTCATAGTGCTAAACATTTCTTGTGTACTGTGGACTACATTGTAGATTAATCCATTTAAATTTATACTCGCTAGTCGCTAGAATTATTTTCATTTATTTAATATGAATTCGAATCAAGAGTCTCAATTCTAAACAACAACGACTCCCTTTCTCCTGTCCTATAAAGTTCACCACTCTTATTTTACGTTTATTCTATAAATAATAATGTGACTTAAATGTCTATTCTTAATAATGTCTATATTTCGCAACTTGAGAAGCCTTTTCACAGTGCCTGCAGTTGGGTTCCTTTTTCAGGTACAAAATTTCTACAGTGTACATATGAAATGGATCTCGTTCTCATCTATAGTCCGAAAAAACACATTAGGCAAAAAATGAGATATATATTCACGGCTCATGCAAAGCCATTGGTATATGTCAGACGGAGAGCGTAATTTGAAAAGAAAAAGGTTAACTGTGACTTACAACATGTGAAGCTAGTATATGCATGTATATATATAGGTAACAGGATGGTTTCGAGTGCAATTTGGATAAAACATGCAAAAGTGGGTTTTTAAAGACCTCAAAATAGCACGAGTTAGAAGGACGAGTGCAATTATAAGTCTTTGAAAAACTCACGAGTGCATGTTTTTCCAAATTGTACAAGAATCTATGCTATTACCTATCAATAATAAATTATACATAAAAGAAATTAGCGACACAATTTCTTTTCGTTTGTATGAATATTCCAAAGTTTTATTGGCGTGCAGCAAACGACGTTATTTAATGTTTACTTACGTTAATGTGATGCAAAAGGTGTACAAGCGACGGAGAAACTTTTGATATTTTTTTTCAAGCCCGTGTTTTCGTTATTATATTTCATGCTTAAACCACAAATTTTCATACCTGTGGAGAGATTTTGTGACGAATGTTGGGTGTTTGTTGTAATTGGTTTCGAAGCTATCTATATAAAAAAGACTATGTCGTAAACACTCATTACTCAGGCAATTCCTATTTCGGGTTGAGTAGCAATAATTAAACTTTCCCTTCGAGAATATTAGATATATTGAGACACGTAGAAAGGTGGATAATTTTTTTAAAACTGCTGAGGTCATATATGTTTATATCTTTAGAAAAATGATTATTGTTTTCTAACCTTTTTGATAATATAAAGATGTTTGAAGTCAGGTTCGTTCATACTTTCATCATCTTCAGATTTGTCTTTGAGGGTCCTGTTGTTGAGCTCACAACGACCTTTACCGATTCCAGAGGTTTTGAAATTAACCGACACACATGATCCATGAGCAGCGCAATGCATACTGCATTCTAACTCAGTTTCAGCGTGAATTGTTTCGATGACATGATTCGCTAAATATTTGCCATCCATTTTGCGAAAGAAGGCCTCGGCGACTGAGCATTCACCCGGCTGGAGTATTCTTGAGATGAAAACTAACGCACAAATTCTTAGTAAGACAGCCATTCTGAAACTGAACATATGGCTCTTCGTCTCGTATTTAAATCAATAGTCTATTATGTAAGAGTCTTCCACTTGTTTTAAAGTACTCTTGGCGTCGTGAAACGTGTGCTTTAATTGAAATCGCGCTGTTTTTCTTTTTTTTTATAAATCTTATTGACAAATCCTCAATTCATAGTGAAAATAATATGACCAAGATATTAAAAGAACTGTCTGTGTTTATATAGCTATGCTTAAAGCCCGTTTTCCACAAGGCGAATTTATTCGCGCGGAATGATAAAAAGTAGGAAGCGATCCCAATCTTTTGCGGCGGTCCCAGTCAATCACATCACCGGATTCAGATTTCGCCACGTCGCCCGAACATGGATAATGACATAATATACACGCGTATTCGATCACTATATATAAGTTGGTCTTATTGTTTTACAATCATGCCTATGCTACAATACGATATTTTAAATAAACGTTTTCAATATTTTCTTCAACTTTTTACCACTTTTAACAACAAGTTTGGCGTCGGAAAAAACTTTGAAACTTAATTAAAATTTTAGACCCATGCATCATTCAATTTTTGGTGCTTAAAATGTTTGCTCAATTGCCGGCAACACATATATAGTTTATTAATTTTTTGGCAAAATTTTTTAGCTGTGTCATGCTAAACGTGATTATTATTTGAGAAGTTAAAATTAGTCCGGCATCGGAAACATCAGAGTTCAATTCACATGGCATTGTTTATCATCCTTGGTTCTGTGAAATATCAAACCTTGAGCTGTGTAATATTTTACAATACTTACAAAAATTTTGGTACGGTACCGAAAAAATGGTACGGATGAAATTTTAGACTGCCAAATAGTCAACTTTCAAACGTACCAATTTAATCCGTTCATACTACGTAAATTCAATAATTTAGGTTTTGGTAAAATGGAGCAAATTTCATCCGTATATACCTAACCTAAAATTGATCGTAGTGTAAATGGGGCTTCGGGATGGATTTAAAGTGAAAATATATTAATATATCATAATAAAATAATAAAGTATTATCTTATTTTATTTTATTCATAAATCATATTGAGAAATTCTCAAAAAGCCATACTCACGCGAGCGCAAAAATAAACAGCGACCATGATATTTAACAGTGCTGTCTGTGTTTATATGTAGCAATGCTTAAAACCCACTCAACGAATTTATTCGCGCGAACTGATAGGTCATATAGGTAGAAAGCGACCCTAGTTTTTCGCGGCGAATTATCTTTCGAAGACGTCAAGCTTTGAAAGCCGTAGTTGAATTTCAAAAATCTTACAAAGACTTTGAGCGAAGACTTTGAAGGGCTTTGAACGAAGTGCAGCGTGTTCAACTCAGAAAACTGAACTTCAAAGAAGCCGCCACTCGTGGGTTTTGCGAGACTATTGCGTGGGAAACTCATATTGAAAAATCTGCTTAAGTGATTACTATATACTGGATATTCCAAAGTTGCCTAAACAGACCAGAATTTCGAATAATCGCCTTTGTAATTATACTAAAATAAAATAACATGATTAATTCACTGTTTTAAGGAAGGCAAGCTTAAGACTTAAGGTTTAAGTTACCCATTAAGCAATAAGTAGATAACAATCATTAAAATTTTAATTACGAATACTTGGGTCTGTAATATTAATGTATGTTAAGTACAGCATGGCGAGTAGTCTTGAATTTATTACATGTCTAGTTTAATGAATATTGATAATCAAAGTAAGGTTTATAGTTACGGAAACAACTCGGAATATTTTTATACAACACACCGAGTTCCATCAACTATCTGATATGTTGAAAGCGTTCACATAATTTTATATGAGCGTTAAGGCCGGTTTAGACTAGCAAAGCTCCTGCGCGCACATTATGTTTTGAACGAAGTGTGTGCAAATGTAAACACGTTTCAAAGACTTTGAGCGAAGACTATGAAGAGCTTTGAACGAAGTGCAGCGTGTTCAACTTAGAACACTGAACTTCAAAGAAGCCGCCACTCGTGGGTTTTGCGAGACTATTGCGTGGGGAACTCAAGCTGTATCTGTGGCGGAAAAGTCAAAAAATTATAATGTCTACCAAAGTTTCATTCATTTCTGCTGATAAAAACAAAAAACAAAGAAGCGCTTTCCGTTTACGGGCGTCCATATTTGACCTGTTGTCTGTGCAACAGAAAATACTATGCTTTGACCTTGGACAGTGTGTTTTCCGAAGTTCTGCTCAAACACTGTGCTCATACACGATGACGTCACTGTGCGCACAGAAACTTTGCTAGTGTAAACCGCGGCCTTTAATCTCTCCATGAGCTTTCACGTATGAGCTGTATAGATCACGTATAATCTCATGATCGTACAATCGTACAATCTCTAATCTCAACCCAATAAGCAATAAATATACAACAATCATTAAAATTTTAAAGTGCCTATATCACTTGTGGGATCTTTACAGATCTAAATAGAGCTTGAAAAATTAGTCTATAAGTTCTACAACCCTTTTTGATATAGTTAAATAGTTTCGGAAATATTTACATCTAAACATGACGATTTGCCTTAATTTCCGTTGTGCTCGGGGGCCTGGGACTCAGGAACCGAGTGCTTGTCAAACATAATATAATCAATTGTAATTTTACTTCGATCTTCCAATAACGTAAAACATTTTGAGAAAAACTCGCCCAGTTGCTACAGCCATACACAACGCACCGTTTCCGATTTTTTTTCTTGAAAAGCGCAAACTATATCGCCAATGAAACTTTTCATGTTTACATTATAAAAGACGGCGTATTTGCAAATCATTCCTGAGTCCCAGTCCTCCCAATCGACGTATTTTCGAAACTATTTAATTATATAAAAAAAGGTTGTAGAACTTATAAACTAATTTTTCAAGCTCTATTCAAATCCGTAAAGATCCCACAAGTGATATAGGCACTTTAATTACGAAGATTTCATTGGCATTATAATATTCAGTGTTTATTGCTTAAAATGTTTGCTCATGTTTGATCAAGAACACTTATCTCGTCATACAATGGCGTTGTTATTTTATTCATACTTTGGCAAGAATTTATGTAAACGTGTATTATTTAAACGTGCAGTTATGTCAGGATTTGGTTGCACTAGGTCGCACGCCGAAAACATAATCGCCTAAACTCAATCTTCCTTCCAATTTATTACTCTTTGTGCTGTTCAATGTTAAAGTCAGTTAAGTGGAAATATTTTGAAATATATGAAAAACCGTACTTAAATTTTTGATATCATAAGAATAGCAATATTAGAAATTTATCAGGGTGTTAAAAAAGTCGCCGATCGTCTATTGGATCGTCTACACACTCCGTAAATTTCTACCAATGTGACCTGTGCTTTGACAAAATGCAATTCGCCGCCATATTGAAAAATCTGCTTAAGTGATTACTACTTGGTATCCCGAAGTTGCTCAAACAGACCAGAATTTTGAATAATTGTCTTTTTAATTATGCTAAAATAAAATAACATGAATAATTCACTGTTTTATTGCAGGCAAGCTTAAGACAGTTACCCATTAAGGAATAAATAGATAAGAATCATTAAAATTTTAATTACGAATACTTGGGAGTTGGGTCTGTAATATTCCATGTAATAATATACATGAAAATGTTTCTCGACTGTGATTGGTCGATTTCAGTGCAATTAATCCCGAACAGCAGTGCAAAAATCTGTAACAACAGTGCAAAAATCTGTAACAACAGTGCAAAAATGTGTAACAACAGTGCAAAAATCTGTAACAACAGTGCAAAAATCTGTAACAACAGTGCAAAAATCTGTAACAACAGTGCAAAAATTTGTAACAGACCAATCTGATTGGCTGTCATAAATATATCAGCCAATCAAATTTGAGCTACGTTTTGGCGGGAAAAATATAATGCTTGCCCCAAACAAAACAACCAAGATGGCGACGGAAATAAAAAACGGAAATTTGGATTTTCGCGACTTTTTAACGTTAAAACAATGGTTTCACAACAAAATATTTAAGAAATATAACGTCGCTAAAGAAAATATTCAATATAAAGGAAAAATCGATCAACAAAATGTACATAGAGACAAGAAATACAAGAAATACTCCTGTGTTTGTCTCAAACATTTTCATGTATATTATTAACAAGTAATAGTATGGTTTCTCGTGCAATTTGGAAAAAAGCATACACTCGTGAGTTTTTCAAAGACCCAAAATAGCACTCGTCCTTCGAACTCGTGCTATTTTGAGACTTTGAAAAACTCACTCGTGCATGTTTTTTCCAAATTGCACTCGAAACCATACTATTACCTATACTTAAAGTACAGCATGACGAGCAGTCTTGTATTTATGACATATGTAGTTTAATGAAAAATGATAATCAAAGTAAGGTTTATAGTTACGGAAACCACTGAATATTTTTACACAGCAAAACGAGTTCCATCATCAATCTGATTTGTTCAAAGTGTTCACATGATTTTATATGAGCGTAAATCTCATACGTGAAAGCTCATGCAGAGATTTACGCTTATATAAACTCATGTTAACACTTACAACATATCAGATCGTTGATGGAACTTACAGCTGATGATATAAACAGTATAAACAATGACTTATAACAGAACTTTTTTTTTAAAATTGAAAGATAATTCATAGGTCTGACGATTTATCGTCGGAATACGCCGACGAAAACCAGATCTTAACCACGGTGCTAAGGCTTCTAAAGAACTGATCATATTTCAAAGACATTATCGAGTTCCTCCTTCTTAACTATATATATATATATATATATATATATATATATATATATATATATATATATATATATATATATATATCCCAGAATTTGTAATATTACCCTAATCTATCCCAATGATGACTACAAGCTAGTTTAAATGTAGATAGAATAAAACTACAAAATGTTACTTCGAGTTACTGTTCTATTATATTTTTTAAAATACTCATTAATATTCAATAGACGTTTTGACCAATCCAATGAACTTATTTAAACACGTAAGTAGGCTTTTATACTCGATAAAGCACTATCAGGACACTGTTTTATATAAAGACACATGTGGCTTTATATAAAGTTCATGTTCAATCCAATTGGTCGCAATGTCTATTGAATATTAACGTCTTATTTTAAGCTATTCAAAACACTCGTAGCTCGTGTTTTATGCGCTAT